AACGGCCCAAACTTGACAGCTTCGAGGGCAGCTCATAGCACAAAAGTCTGGCAAGTCCCTTTATTTCGTTTTACCGCCGGTGTGAAGGGACGAACCTTGGACACGTAGTCGATGCACTGATCAGGAGCTGAACCTTAACTATCCGATGCGGAAGCACAGAGTTTTTTTGAGTTTGTTTTTTTTTCTCGCTTGGCGGACGCGACGACGTCGGGAAAAGCAACGAGCAGGTAATTTTACCTGGGACGACCCTTGCACGACGCTGGACGCTGTTGGAAGAGAAGCAAGAGACCGGACCGGGCACACTGCATGCATGAGCTTACACTACGGACGTAAGAAGTGCTTGAAACAGGGCGATTCTTGAGTAGAGCTTCCAGCCGTCAAGGCACTTCCATGGCTCTTCTACTGCAATCATCTTAGCCCCCACTGAGCGTCGTGCCCAAGAGCTGGATCGCCCTATTTTATATCCACACGGGCAAACGGGTCGCCGAGGTACCTTCAACGTCGAGATAGGAAGCTCGTTCAAGCTAGCTTGAACGCTTCAACACGAAAATAGCCGCTCGAAGGGACGAACGGGTTGCAAGCTTGTCAGCCGCGAGCGCTTACAAAGTCTTGCCGATATGCACTGCACGTCGCTGATATAGAAGCCACATTATACAACGAGCTTAAAGATACAGGAGCAGCAAATACAACTTCATCGCCGCCAAAGAACACGCAACACGCACGCAATAGAAACTTCTCTTTCCCTAATGTGAACTGATCGGCATGGCGCTCTGGGCCCGAGGCCACGGTCATACCAACATGACGGACACACTACTCCACGGAGGGACCACTACAGGATACAAAGATGGAAGAAGATGTGCGCGCCCCTATTTTTGCCCTTGCTACGGAGTTCGGCACATCGTCGATGATGAGAAAGGGCCAAGCTTACAGCGCCAGAGGCCTTGTCTAATCCCGTTGGAAAAAAATACACAAACCCTAGCGAGTTCAATGATGGTTTCGTTGTCGATAACACCCCATATGTTCGTCGCCTTGTTTGCCTGTCCGATTCGCATCCCACTTTTCCCATCAAGTCAACGCCTCAGATGAATCTTGCCGCATTTTGCCTGGCTCGTACTGTGTTGACTCAAGGGTTTGGACGAAAGAGGAGAGTCATAGCGCAGATCTTAAGACATTGACACTACAAGAAGCAGCATCACCGGACGAACCGTTGGGACCACACTAAGGCAGGTGGAAGTTATCAAATAGCATAAGAGCAACCTCACTCAGCAGGGCTCCTGGGTCCCTTCGAGGGCTTTTGAACAAGCAGAAACTCCACGTCTATTACGACGCCGATTCCCGAAACGGTGGAGGTCGTGACTAGACTTTATGCACCTACGAGCATCCGCTCATCTCCAGCTTACCAGGGCTTCGAGTGCTTTGAGTTTTTCGTTAATCTTCGTACAATCACCGCGTTGTGAAAGGCCGCCACAATGTTTAGCTCGAGATAATGGGTCACGATTGGAGACATTGTCATTTATCAAATCCCCAACTTATAACCTGGGCGAGACTCAAAAGGCCGGGATCACGACTCGAGCACCGGCCAGCCCTGGGTGAACACCGAGTCAACTATCATCCCTGGCCATTCTTCAATTTTCAAAATTATTCTCGAAGCATTTTCTTGCTTCTTCCCGCCCCATCTGCTCCATCTTCCTTGTGTTATAATCCACTACTACTGTCCCGATACACATTTCCCTTCACCGCGACAGCAAAGTTCGCCTCATCCCTTGCCCACTATGCCTCCGCGCAAGAGCCGACGGACCCGGACAGCCTTTCATTCCTCGACTCACATCCTCCACATCGCTAAACCCCAGAGATATGGATGGGATCCGCATCGTGCCCCATGCTCTCCACTGAAGGCACAGGTACAGGATCTCCACCGTCCGTTTCATTTCTCGTGACTGCAGGCAGTTGGTTAAGATTATTGACCGGAGCCTCATCTTTCCGTGGCTATCTCTCTCTGCCCTTGCAGATAAAGCCTTTGGCTGAAGAGGGCAACGAGAGGCGAGCCCGGAACTTGGCAAAGTCGAGCCTTGACCGCTTTCGCAAATCCGAGTTCGCGGGCTCATCGCCGGGCAGGGGTTCGATCCAGCGATGGGAAGAAATCGGACAAAATGCTCACACCGCAGGTTTGGCTGATTCCACATAACCCACTGACGATCATGTTTCCTCGCCTGATCAACTCGACAACACTCCGTTACCCCTGCCGGAAGAGCCTAGAGTCGAGTCTGTCTCTCAAAGAATATTCCGCTCCCGACGGGACGCCCGAGGCGGCAAGCCTCACCGCATACTCGCTTGTTGGTGACTCCCGCAACGTGAAGCAAACATTGTTCCTCTTCTGAGAAGACAAGAGGATCCTTAGAATTGGCTTGCAAGGGACCCGGCGGGTCCCAAGGATGGTGCCTGCTGATGTTTGCGACAGGCCTCGCGGGAACCCCTTCCAAACTTGCCTCTCTCCCTCGCCAGATTCCTTTTCTTCCCTCTATTTTGCTTCTTTCTCTTTTGCCACTTGTGACAGGCATGCATCAGGTTTCGTGACGTTGGCAAAGCAGCTGCACCGCCTAAATTCTTCACCGCCGGTCCGCTCACGTGGCAACCCTTCAATCTCGTGTCATCAGTTTGCACCGGGCGGAACATGTCGAATTGGAAATCAACCTGCTACGAGACTTTGTCTGACCATCTCGACATAGTGAACACAAAAGACCAAGTCGCACACATCTCAGTCGTGCCCTGTCATCTTCAGCCACACTTCGGAACAATACAAGGGCGAGTCATGGTGTAAGTCGCACAAAGCTGCCGGCTCACGTGCAGCCGCTCAATCGAGCAGCGTTCCGTTCCGAAAAAGGAATAACAATTTCAAGATGCCAGCTGCCCCTCTTGTCTGCCTCAAACTCGAGATTTTGAAGAAGCCTGCTGGTCCTTGCCCCAGGATACGAAGGAACGGACTCAGTTGGAGCCGTCAATATCAACTCGAACCTAGGGGGTACCCTGTCTACTTTCGGGTTGTGGTTCAGCCGCCATCAAGCCACTCTCACCAGCCCACCTGAGGTCTTTCGGGTACTGCCGTTAGCTCGCCGCCCGCGTGCAGACCTCACCTTCTTCGTCTTGCAAAAAACAGACGACTGGCCCGCCAGCTCAATGACTGAGTTCCGCGCTTGAAACCTAGCCGTACTCACTTCGTGAAACCAAGGCAACGCGCGGCACGATCGGTGAACTACTGAGTCCCCGCAGAACCACGGGAACCAGCCCAAAAGTATGTAATGGCACGTGGTGCAAGAAACACCACACACAGCTTCGCCTTGTGCTATGCATACAATCTCTCTGCTACTCATTGTAATTGTGCACGACTCCTCCAACCCCCTCGAAATGCAGTGCCACTAAAGGCGGTCGTTACTCAAAATAGGTATGATGACGGAAGGGTCGATATTAACATCATCTCAGCCAACCCCGGCTTTTGCCGTCTTCCCCAAGGAATATTCCACCAAACATGGAAGCTGCCAGTTCGCGAACCAAAAGAAATGTCACCAACCAATTATCCGCAACGATGGGGGAGATCACATCCCCAGTGAGTCCTGAGCTAGTATTGGCTCATTTCGCGATTCCGGTGGCCTCCATTCGCGATGCAACTCCAGCGTAGCAACCCACGTGTGACCTGCGTCGGACATCGGCTTACTCCAGGCGTGGGTCAGCCACAAGATTGCGACTTGCCGTCATTGCCATGCTGGAGACTTGGCTCAGGTAGTGGTCTATCTCACGCCAGATTTGGTTGTCCTTCAAACTAACGGATTCAAATCATATTGGTCGTTCATCATCTGCTTCCTCGACCCAGGAATTGCCCGATGATGCTTCTGGCAGGCGTTGTCAGCAGGTCGCAATCTTGAGCATCGTTCCAAAAACGAGCTAATCCATGGCAATCCGCTGTTAATAATCCGTCTAGACGGTCGGGCGGAGAACGAACGCAATCGGGACGTGGAAGCAGTTGTACTCATGCCTAATTTCCTGTGTTCCGTTTGTTAATCCCCTCTGCCTCCATCTAACACATCGATACCTCAGTCTAGTTCGCCGAGAAGACTCCTCTTATGAAGGCAAGCGGGGGCTGGAAAGTGTTGGACCTGGTCCCTGTGCTCTGTGTTCTCGTCGATCAAAAGATAGCGGATCACAATGGCTTAGATCTTTGTATTACACCGGCTGTTTTCAAGTGCTACCAGTTTGGCAAGAGAACCAACAGCATTTCACGAACGTTCTGTTGACTCTGCGACTTTGGCAGCTTCCAGCCACCAACGAGACGTAGACGAGGAGGTGCATATTTGCAAACAAATGCAACTCTCAGCTCTGCAAACATTGTGAACAACATGGATCTTGTGTAGAAGGGGCATAGTGTTGTTCTCCATGGATCACGCTGCACCTCTCGAAGGAATGATGTATGCATGGTGTATTAATGTTCCATGGTATGGAATTGCAGAATCAACTCAGGGTCTTCCGAGGACGTATAAAAAATCCTCCGAGTCCAGCATGCTAGTCATATCTCATCTTTCTTCTGCCAAGTTTTGTCTTCGAATCCAATGGATGAACCGTTAGTGACCACACTCGCCTTACATAAGCCTGCAGACGGGTTTGGGCCAATCGTCAATCAAACTACAACTTCAACCTACTCTGTATGTTAACAAGGCAAGTCTTCCATCTTTTAGGAGCGGTGTGTGGGCTTTCTATAGAATCTTGTTGCATAACGAGGACGAGTGAACCGTGTTAGAAGCGGCTACACTACCGAGTAACGGTTCATCCGCAACAGATGCGAGGCAAACAGACAACCTCTTTTAACATGGTTCGAGAGAGAGGGCAGTAAACCTAGCATTCTTTCTATAGCCCTCAATAAGTACCGAAACCAGGGTACAACCATTCTCAAGATTAAGTTTCAGTGTCGGAGGAAGTTTGACTGCCAGACGCTCGTTCGAAAGGTTGGCCAGTCACTCGCCTAGAAACGAGGCGACTGGGTCATAGTACTCATACACCTTGTTCTCCTTTTCGCCACCCGTAACTGAAGGCGCTTTGTATGTCGAAATCCCCGTCTCACGGTCGTATGATGCGTAGCTACAAGCCAACCTCTTGCCACCACCTTGGGGCAGGTCCACCACAAACTGAGGCGTCACGAAGCCGGCAATCGAACCCCTGATCCTTGATTCTAGGTCGAGAATCGTTTGCAGAGGTGTTCTCAAGTGCTCTACTTTCTTTACCATGTCACACTGATAGACGTAGTACTGTTTCCACTTAGCAAAAAACTCGGAAGCTTTGGATGGTTGTTGGTCCATACTGGAACAATGTTGTTGTTGGCCAACCTGCGAATCAAAGTCGACATGGTTTCAACGTCGTCGTTGATGCCCCGAAGCAGGACTGTCTGGTTCCGCACTACAACCCCTGCTTCGTTGAGCTTCTGACTGGCTTCTTCGGTAATCCATGATATCTCATTGGGATGGTTGAAGTGGGTGTGGAGCGCCACGCCCTTGCGTGCCTTCTTGGCTTTATCGGAGACGGCGACGAGTGCGTCGACCCAAGGATCGTTTGGGTCGAGTATCCGAGTCGGACACACAGCAAGGCCTTTGGAAGCGAACCTGAACCGACGAATGTTGGGCATAGATATCAGTCTGTCGCCAATCAACTTGATTTGGTGAGGAGCCAAATAGTATGAGTCCCCTCCAGATACCACAATGTCCTCCAATTCTGGAGTATTTTCAATGTAATTAAAAACTCTCTCCCATCGAGCAAGTATAGGTTTGTACGAGTCCTTATCCACGGTTTCTGTGTTAGCTCCCACGGCATATGAGCGAGTGCAGAACATGCAGTATGTTGGGCAGACGGAAACAGCTTCAGAGACGTTATTAGTCAACGTGGCGAGGCTGGGATTCGGCTACTGTCTGGGCTTACGAAGAAACAAAGCCTTATCCCGGTACCGGTGAACAAGCCCAGGAACAGGTGAGTCGGCCCGTTCATGCAACGAATCGAGCGTCAGTCTGGGGTGATCGGGCAACATTGATGACCTAGTTGGTAAGAACTGGCGAAAGATGGGGTCATTTCGGGGGTTGTCCCAGTTGATTCGACTGAGAATGTACGGCCTATAACAACCTAATGAGCAAGACCCGAGCAACTCGTGAACAATATACCCACGTCAAGCGAATGGACATGGTCGCTTCCTTGATTCCGGCGAATATGTCATCGATTAACTTTTCGCGAGGCTCCATTTGATGACTGGAGCCTCGAACAGGAACATTCTCGGGTAAGGTTGCGTTGAGGAACCCCCGGAGCTCTGGGAGTCTCTCAACCATGTTCCTACTCTGGTGAAAGGGTGTTAGTGCACAAGCATAAATTTTGAGAAAGGTACAGCCCATACGCTCCAACGGTAATCAAGGAAGTCGTCCTTGGATACGTCTTGCCACCATGGTATGTTGCGCCAAAACTCATCAAATTCAACCGAGGGTGCTCTGAGTATGGGTTTGTCATTTTCTAGAGGGAATGGACGCTCGACGATCCTCTCAGCAAGCACAGCCTGAGCTCCCTGCATGAGAGGTAGGGTGGTCGCTCTACGGATCTCATGGCTACGAAACGCCGAGATATGACGAGCGGCAAAATGGGCCGACAGACTTGGGGGCAGCATTTCAACGTCCGTCTACGCTCCTGGTACTGTAAGATTCTATCATGACTGGGTTAACGGCCCAGGATACTTGTGGCAGCGCTCGGCTGTGTCCATCGGGAATCGTGTTTACAGTGAATGCTGCGTGATAGCCAAGGGAAGGGTGTAAGGTACCTTTGATGTAGCTTTGTCGTGAGGGCAACGGCCACTGAATCTCAAAGAATACTCGCTGCAGTCTTTATTCGAAAGACGAACGCAGAAATGGTGGTGGGTGCACAAGATAAGACAAGGAGAGAAAAATAGTCTTATGCAAAACGAACTGCAAAAAGTAAAGTCGGCGGAAGCATTGCTGTATTTCATATCCAGCAGGCGCGTATAGACAAAATGACGACGTCTTCGAGGACACTAGATAAGATCTTTCCAAGTCCAGGCATAACCATCGAGGGAGAGTCTCCATCGGTAGGAAAAACAAACCTGAAAGATCTACCTCGAGCAAACAGCAAGTTCCACGGAGAGCGCTGCTTCGTCGGGCTTGACTTCACCAAGTTAATGTAAAACCCCGGCCCGACCCCCCCCCCCCCCCCCCCCCCCCCCCCCTCTCATGGCTGGCCTCACTCTCCGTTGTACATCGGCAATATGGGGGTTACGGTACCCGACATACTGGCTTTGCTCGTTTCACCTTGAAGTACTTTGGTTGGTCAAATCAACCGGCACCTTCTCCTACAGCTTCAACCAATAGTCGCTTCCCAAGCTAGTCATATGTCTTTTGGAAGACGGATCGAGCCGGTCAGCGGCAATCCCTTGACAATCCTCATGTGGTATGGAACGCGATGGCCTCACAACGCTGCCACAGCTCACGCAGGTTCCAGGCCGATGAATCACGCCCTCAATGGCAGTTTTCGTGGGGGTTCCGGATCGAGAGGCTTTTGCATACATCCTCGCACAGTAAACAGGCCCTCATCTTCGACCGCTAGCACCCTACTAGTTAGTAGTCTGAGTACGGACATATTGCTTTTTCAAGACAGCTTGTATGGCGAGCTTTGAATGACCAACGAACAGTCCGTTGACTACCCGCCAACCATACAACTAGATCCGGCTGACCCGCTACTACTCCACATGGAGTTCTAGGCATCACAACAACCAACAGACCACAGCCAACAACTCGAAGCCCAAGTCAAGTCACCACAATGTCAATTCCGTCCTTGGTAGAAGCGGGATCTTGACTACGATGCCTTAAAAACCCCTGGTGACCTTAGATCGGACGCTAGACCCATTATATGATACCTCCTAAATACCACGGAGAATGCCTTTGACTTGGGGAAAGGGCGCTTTAAAGACAACTGCTGGTTGGACGTCACAATTGTCATGCCTGCATTGGCGACCGATCTGGAGCTTGGGTTTGCCGAGGGTACTTGGGAGACCCGCTCTGGAGCCAAAACGGACTTTTGAAGGTCTGCTAACTCAACTTTCATACGGAACAAGAGCTTACAAGCAAACGGCCAGGTTCTCAAAGACGAAGACGGTAGGACCTAAAGAAGCTAGCATTTCTTGCGCATCTTGTGGTGATTGCCAAAAGTCGAAGTACACCTCCTTGCTTCTTTCGACGTGCTGCAAGACTTGCTAAGCATCCCATAACCTTGGTCATGCGTGTGATCTCATACGGACAGCTCACTCAGCAAACGGCATCAGTGTCTCAGTGGAAGGAGTTTCCCACCATGGGTGTCCCGAAACTTTACCCTTCTGAGGTACGCGAAGCGCCAGATGCCTCCAATGGAAGTGGCACAGAGTACGTTGTTGGGCCTCTCAGCTCTCATTCTTTCTTCTTGTGATGAATTTAACTAATACCTATTCATGTAGGTTGCCGTCGCTGCGATCCACTACTCACTTCGGTTCTCCTAGCCCAACCGGCCCACTGTTGCCCCAGACTCAGCCTCTGCCACGACACCGCCCCTTTGAGGATCGAGTTCTGGTTCTTTCTAATGAGCCCGTAGATCATGACTGGAGAGCGTGGTAAGTGGTCGTCGGTTCCACGGCAGTCATGATTCCCACGTTCGTGTTGATGAGTACTGTTGGCATATTCCAGGTTTACTGGAAAGAAAACCATCAGAAGCATAGTCCAATGCAGACATTTCATGGATTATATCCGGTTTTGGATTCCTCGCAGTTCTTCTCGGCGGCCCTTTTGGTATGCTGTTCGACAACCGGCTCTCAGTGGCTAACGATGCCTGTCACTATTGATTACTGCGCTTCTTTCATCGGTGTTGCCTTCAGTAGTCGGTACTGGCAATTCATGGTCTGTTTTGTACTGCCGGAATTGGTGCCGGTAGGTTCAGGCACCTAGTTCCGAAACAATTGACAGATTCCCTTGACCATGTGCATGTAGCGGCCTTGGAAAGCAGTGTCGTAGCCGTCATCAATCATTGGTTGACAAGAAAACGGGATTAGCTATGGGCTATGCACAATGGGTGGGGGACTTGGTGGCGTGATCCTTTCGGTCATACTTCGATTCACCACCAAAACCCTGAACTGGATGACTGCTAGCCTCGTTCATCTTGCCCTTATTTGTACCTTCATTTCCCTCGGATGCATCTTGATGAAGCCCAGAGTAGTCAGAAGCCGCAAAGGAAAGTAGTGAGACCTGACATGCTTCAGGCGGTGGAAGTCTCTTCTCTTCACCTTGAGTGTATGTGGTATGAATCGTGCAGCAACCCTAATGAAAGCTAGCCTAGGCTTTTGAATGATCCTTTTCGTGGCCTGGGGATTACTTCCTACTTATTCTAGAATTGTCAAGCTGGGTGACGTGTTATACTTGACCATCGTTCTCAGTGTGTAAGTCCTCTAATCATCAAAAATCGAGGGTTTCACTTAGTGAGCACAGAAGTGGCAAGGGGTCTTCTCTAGGCAGAATTGTTCCCGCATATCTTACTGACAAATTTGATTCCTTCAACGTGATCATCCTCATGACGATATTCACAGAAACGGTAATGCTCTTCCCGTGGCTCCCATTTGGAGGTACTTCGGCACCAGCATTGCATGCTGTTGATTCTTGCCTTGGGTTTCGCACGGGAAGTTTCGTCTCTACGACTGCCACATGCCTTGGGCGCCTTTGGGAACATCAAGAAAGCGGAACGCACATCGGCTGCTGCTACGCTGTTGTTAGCCTTGCTACGTTGGCAGGCAACCCGGCTAGTCAGGCAGTGTTTGGAGACGGGACGAGCGGCCGTACTAGGTTAACGGTAGCTTTTCTGGCAATAGTACTCGCAGTAGCATTAGTCAGTTGTTGTTTTGAAAGATGGATGTGCACGAAATGCAAATGGAAGTGTTTGGTGAGAGTGTGAGCCGAGCGGTGTCGAAAGTCAATTGCCTGATCTGGGAACGGACGTTCTTTTCTTATTTAAAATCGGGGACCGCAAGGATCATAATGGACCAGTGATAGCTGATGGCTTGGCATACCGGCATGAGGGCAAATCCGGTGAGGTGCCGGTTCGACATGGTTGGTCGCCGTCGTTCTGAACTATCATTCCCAACAAGCACATCATGCAACCCGTCGTAAATGGCCTGCAAGATCCAGTCAACGTTCTCAGAAAATGACAGCCTAAAGGGCAATATTGTACAATAACAAAAGGCTTACAGACCTGTTCAAACTAATGACATCTTGTACACCGCGAATTGGGCAGGTTTCCTCCCTAGTCGCCAGCAAGCAATTCTTTAGCTCCAAGTATATCAACGCTTCTATGACACATTGAATGGAGCTTTGTGGCCAAGTACTTACATCGTGTGATAAGACGGTCAGCCCTTGCTTGGCGGCCACCCCTGTATGCTATCGGACCACCAGACAACTCCACAATGCGGACCTACAGGATGGAGGACGTATCACATGGACTGCAGATCTCTGGGCAGAAAATCTAGGGATGCAAGTTATTAGACATCCATGAATTCGACCTTAGGGGGGATGTTACGGGAATGTTTTCCGAGTGCTCTGATGGCCTGTCAAGGCGGACGTGGCAAGGGCCGACTAATTTGGTTAGAGGGCCGGGCCGAAGGCCGGGTTTAAGCCCGGGCTATCTAGTCTTGGCTGTTCAACCGTTCGTCTACCCGTCTTGCTTTGTAAGTATGTTAATGTTGTCCGCGTGTGGGTCGATGGCGATGATGAATATTTGAAGCAAGGAAAGGGTTGCTCATTGAGAGGGACGAGCGACCTCTGTTAAGACAAGCCAAGTTCGTAAAACGTGTATATGGTGCACCTGAGGTTCTCCTCGGAGCTGACTACAAACTAGAAAGCGTTGCAAAAGTTGGTCGAAACGGGCTGGAGGATCCATAAATTCAAACAAGTAAATAGGCTGCGTAGCCAGACCTGCGCCAGTCAAGACAGCTCAGCAAACGGTACCACAACCAAGGGAGGAGGTTGAGGCTGTTTGTGACTTTCGAACATCTTTGACCAGAACTCAAAGGCCACATCAATCTATCGAGAGCTCCAACTGCCGTTCTTATTATCGGAATAACATTCCCAGTTGACTCGAAAGAGAAGAAGAAAGGTTACTATGCACAGGGCATGAGTATCCAGGGGGTAATGGCAGACTAGGAAGCGAACCCAATCACCAGCAGACGGAGATTTCCGTCCAACCTGAGTGATTCCGCTCGCGGAAATCCTGAAAGTGTTCGACGAAGTGAAATGCCACTCTTGTACCGTTGCGCATGTCGGGTATCGTGCTAAAAGAAAGGTGGTTGTCAATAAAGCGTTCCCGTTCGAGCGCTTAACCCATGCCGCGGCACTGCGACCAACATGGCATGCCTTGGCGAGACCATGTTATGGCTACAGAGGGGTCCGAAATGAGACAGTTGTCTTGGAAAAGGAATCAGCTGCCCACATCTTCTCAGGACACATCTATTCGCTGGCTGCGTAAGGTACTTCGGGTAAGGTCAAAAGCCCGGAGAAACCTGTTCGATCTGCAGCCGCTCGGCTCGAGGTTTGTAAGGAGTGGCCGCGGAAAAGGTAACTCGATCAATTGTCTGAGTCATTTCTGGCGATTTTGACAGCGGGAGACTGTGAAAGGGAGGATGATTCTGAGCTTGACGTATGGGACGAGATGTCGGGAGGGAGGCTGTGATCGAGACCAAGCTCCCGAGACGCGACCTCCTCGGCTTGGAGAAACTAGCCATACCGCTACATCTAAAACATTGATTCTATAAGCGATGTACAATACCAGGATCCAAATTGATGTCATATGAAAATCTCGACAGGGGCCGCGTTTGGAGGAGAGGGGCGTGATCGACACTCTTATGCTGTACACAACCCACCCCGTGGTTTAGATTAGCGAAAAACTCTATTCATCCGCTGGCTTTCAGATTTATACAACGGTTTGCTATTTTTCATTTTCTAGCATCGGATTTGGTCTACTGGGTGACGAAAATGGGACTCGTTTTGTCATGTTGAATGATGTTGGCTGAGCCTAGACCCAAGGCTGAAAATTTGTGTGACCGCTTACAAGTGGACTTTTGTTGCTTGTCTTTTTTACTAAGTTGAGGTAACCCCCTGTCCGGAGTTGAGATTCATAGGGAGACAGTCAAACACTCTAAATGAATACTGTCCAAGTGTTTGTTTGCCACATGCTATTCGTACGAATAATTTAATGAATAATTTGACGAGGATTCTCGGCTTAGGAATAGCCAGTCTGTTGATGTTACCGAGCACCCAGGGCACGGAGGTACCTAGATCTTTCGGTATCGAATAAACGGCATTTGGGTTCAGACCTACTAGTCTGTCTTTAGCAGGTGATTATAACAGATCAGATATGTCCGGTTTATTTCCTTTGGGTCTGGCTAGTGGGCTTGTCTCGGTGGCCATGATATTGTCAGTAACACTGCAGACCCTGGGCAGATGTTTGTCTACTGATACTAGGGCGATGGCATGCAGTGTATCGGTACAAGTTCTGCCAGCTACCCATTCGCAAGCCCCCTGTTCATGGTCTACGTGCCGAGATCTCATCTCGTCAAAGATTGCCAGGTTGATGTATGAAGTGAATACCCATGGTCTCGGAAGGAGTGAAGGTGGTGGAGGATGGAGGTTACGTGTTGCTAAGAAGCACTCACTTGTCTTTTACAGTGAAACACAGCTGGGGGAAATGGCTTGTGTTTCTCAGAGGGCTCCGCAGTTTTGGTTTCTTTTTGTAAGCCGACTCCATGTTGCGTGAATCACATCGCTTTCGCAATCGGAAACTTATTCCCGGGTATTGAAAGGCCAAGAATAGACGGGCAGACGTTATTCCTCTGTTTAATTGGGCTGGCTTTGCCGGAGTTTCCGGACTATCAGTGAATCTACATAGCCCTACGGGTAGTAAAGCCCATGCCAACATGTAACTTTCGTTGACCGCTTTTGAATACTGTTGCTTCTCACTCATGTTTTGTTGCTCTGTAGCCCAAGGCCAGGAACGACATGGAAGCTGTGTGACTGCACCCATGGTGATCAAAGATGTTCTTCATTCGCGAGAGTAGGAGAAGAAAGGGGGTATAAGGCCCCGAAAAGGGGCTGGGTTAGTAGCATGTCGGATGCCTCGATTTCGTCTATACTGCGAGATAGTATCCTATATTCATGTTCCTGCAAACAGGACCACCTTCGTGTTCGTCAGGCGGCATCAAGAGCCAATTTACATCTGATGACCAAAGTTTCTGCCAGTGGTGATCACGAGACCCCAAAGATGGAATTCAACGACCTGTGCTGCTGGAATAGGCTACAACAACATCCGGCATTGATGTGATGATTTATCCCGCATGGAATGGTCTGTTCTTAGTAGAACTAGACGCAAAGGATTTGCTGTGTTCCAAACAAGTACGCACTTCGCAGCTCGACGCACAGAACCATGCATAGACTGATTGATATGGGCTGGAGAAACGGGATCAGGGACGACTGAATCCTGAGGATTTCTGATCAACAGGTCGCTCGCGGCCATTTCTTGTGTCTGCATTGGGAGATCAAGCCACCCACCCACACAGGCTTGTGCGTGCTCTGGCCAAACACATATATGTATGCCCAGTGCATGTACGCAGCTTCGCAACAGAGAACTATTGGGCTCAGACCCTGAGCATTCTCAACCCAGAGATCTCGCAGCGTTTCCTGGTTCCTTTGTGCAGATAACGTTGGGAAGTGGTATCTGTATACAATGCCATTTATACGTACAAAAGTCTAACCCCCCCTTTTCAGGACACGAGTCTCGAGCGGGCTGGCTCTTTGTCGCCCGGCCTGTCTCTTTCAACAACTTTCAACAACCTACTATACTATACATGCTCTCCGTAAGCAGCAACATTCTACAGGAGCAGATCATGCCTTGACGTCGCCATCGCTCTCGTGAGGCGGCGCATCCTTGACAAGGTCGTCCCTCTTCTTCTCCAGGCCATCCTCCCTCGCCGCCTCCTTCTTCCCCGTCGCGAGCTCGATGCCCACCAAGCCCGCCAGCATACCGAACAGATGGGACGTCAGGTCGATGGTCTGCCTGCCCCTCCGGAAGAACGCGTAGACGTGGAAGCCAAGGATCATGGCGATGAACCCCAGGCCCTGCGGGCCGTTCATCGGATCCGGCGGGAGGCCGAGCACCTTGAACGAGTCGAAGCGGTGCATCCAGAAGTACGCCGTCGCGACGCCGAACACGGCGCCCGACGCGCCCACGGTCGAAACGGTCAGCAGGCCCCGCAGCGTGAACACAGTCAGGCTGCCGAGCAAGCCGACGGCGCCGGAGGCGAGGTAGATGGCCAGGAAGTTGGCGCGGCCGACCTCGTCGTGCAGCGCGGTGCCCATGAACCACAGCCCGACCATGTTGGTCGCCAGGTGGCCCAGCGAAGAGTGCGAGAAGTTGGCCGTGATCATCGACACGGCGCGCGGCATGCCGTGCACCAGCACAAAGTACTTGTTCAGGAACCGCCACAGCGGCGGCACGCGCCACGCGAGGGAGACGAGCACGTTCAGGCCGATCAACGCGCCGACGGTCGCGGTCGAAGCGGAGACCTCGGGGTACAGCCGGTCGGCGTCACGGGGCGGGGTGTAGACCGCAGCGAAGGCCGAGAGCAGGCCGACCAGCAACAGGACGACTGCCACGGACGGGAGTAGGCGCTCAGCGAGGGTCAGCGGCGGCGGGGCCTCGAGGTCGGAGCTCGCCTCCTCGGTCCACTTTTGCATGCGCGGGCTCATGGGCGGGCGCTTAATGTCGAGGGTCGCGAGGGTGCCCGGGTTCTCGAGGTCCTTCTGCCTAGCCTCCTCGGCGAGACGCTTCTCTTTCTCAGCGGCTTTGGCCTGGTTCTTGGCGCGGATGGCGTCGAGGGCGCTGTAGCCGTATACCGGATCCGCTTTGTAGGCTCCCTTGGGGCTCTCGGCGGCGGTTTCGGCGGCGGTGTCCTTGTCCTTGAGAGACGGCGTCTTTGCGCCCGAAGAATCCTCGTCGACGCTCTCGGAGAGCTCCTTCTCCAACGCGGCGAGCTCGTCCTCGGCGCGCAGACCGGCGTTGAGGACTTCGTCGACAGGGACGATCTTGCGGAGGTATCTGAGGGCGGCGTCGCGCTGTTGGGCCGTGAACGCAGCGGTGTTTACGCTAAAGGCCGGGTCGTCGAGGGATCCCGCGACGCGGCGGCCGTGCATGATGCGCAGCAGGCGATTCGCGGCGGCGGGCTTGAGGGAGGGGCCGAAGACGGCCTTGGTCTCGGCGGGGGTGAGGTCGGTGGCCCGGAAACGCAGGCCAATCTTGTCCTTGTAGTCCAGCGGGAGGTCGACGTAGTCTCGGAGGATGGGCTCGTTCTTGGGCGGCGGTGAGGAGGACGCCCATCTTCGTGCTGGGAGGTTAGATGTCGCGGCAAGGCCCGGGGAGGGCCATTGGGTTTGGCGGAGTGTCGACCATGCCGAGTGTGGTCTGCTAGAGACGGGTCTGCGGAGGGTTGTGCATGTTGAAAGGAGCCGGGAGGCGGCCGGGGAGGCGCTGCAGCTGGTGCTCGCGGCGTGGCGGCAGGCGACGCGCAGACCGAGGTGGAGGAGGGATCGCGAGGGGACGAGGCCGAGTGAGGTGTTCATGGCTCCTGGAGCCGGGGACCGGGTCGTCGCAGCGCACTGAGAGCTACACACTCACCAATGCGCCGGCTCCGGTCGAGAAAAATGTTTTCCTTCGTAGGAGGAAGGCGGTCTACCTTGGACTGGTGGTAGTGTTGTCCCTCAGGGCACGTTCCGTTGTCGTCGTCGTTGTCGCGATGGCTCGATGCTGAAGGTGTCATGGATCCGTAAATTCTTTGGTTTAACTCGACTGGGCCGTTAGGGGACGCGGAATCAGGACCGCGGCGGACGGTGGCGGTCGGTTCCGCAACACACCCGGGTGTGACTTGATCCCGCCCGCCTGTCATCAGCTAAGGCACGTAATCGATAAGCAGAGCTCGACTGGCGGTGCTCGGCCCAGGGGTGCGTTGGCCCCCTGGTCAAGGCTCCCCCACCGCCGGAACCTTCCACTGTACTTCCACCCCGCGCTTCAGGTTTAGAGAGCTGGCAGAAAAGCTACGGTGACGTTGCTGAGCATCTACCTAGAGCCGCTCGCTCTCCCTCTTCCTACTTGTCCCATGCAGGCAGCTTCAAACTCTTTGCGCGACTGCACCAAGGCACCGTCATCGTCGTCATACGCCCGTTTGTCCATACGTCGCGCGCGCGCCCCTGTTTCTCACTCGTTTCGTTTCCCAAGGCTACACCACTACAAGTAACATTCGCAGACCGGTTTCTTCCATCCCCAACCGCCCACCCGCAAAGCAACTCTACCCATCTCATCGCACAAAGACAAACGCTAAACCGACAAGCTTCTCAAACGCAAAAATGTCGGCAGACACCGGCCCCATATCCCCCGCCCGCTTCGCCGAAGCAGTGCGTGAGCTCTCCCTCCCGACGCTGCACCTCAAGGCGCTCGAGATCCGCAACTCGATCCTGCACCTGCAGTACTCCAACGCCCAGCTGAAGCCCTACGCCGAAGGCGCCGCGACAACGCTCGATGCCGCCGATGCCTCTATTGGCAGACCCGACCCCGACTGCGTCGAGGCCATCCGCGAGAACGACGTCGTCATCGCCCGCATGGAGGAGCGCGTGCAGATCATTCGCGAAGAGGTTGAGGGCCGTGGACACTCATGGAACGAGTTCCGCAGCAAGGAGGAGGTCGAGTCGGAGCAGCACACTGGTGCTGGCACGAATGGGGTGAATGGCACGGCGGCTGTGCAGACGACGAATGGTCTTGGTGCCGCGAGGGCCGAAGAGGAGAGGATCGCGGGACAGAGCGCAGCGACGAACAACTCCAGCAACGCAACGGCAGCTTCACAACACCCAGCGTGGTTGGATGGCACATTCCAGACGGGCACGATACGCAACGGCGAGATCCAGCTGGATGCCACACCGGCTCAACCTACCCCGCAAGCAAACGGCACGGGCGGCCGCCTGTCCGACGATGAGCTTCGCCGGGCCATGGAGGACCGGATGAGAGGTCTCGGCGATGACAACGATGAGGACGGCGGAATGCACTTGTAAGTGCGATGGACGGGTTCGTCATGGGTGTTTCACGATCAACGAGGCGTTGATTATGGGTGTGGGGGATATCAAAAAGTAGAAAGAGAAAGTTTTCGGGAAGTAATACCCTCATATTCCTACTGTTGCTTGCTAGCCATGCCATGACAAAAAGAAGAAAGGTAAAAGCTTCGTCGCAATTCTGCGCGCGGCCAAGTGTAAATGGTAGAAACGAAGAATGAAAGAAAGGGCCAGAAACTGTTGCCCTTGTTGAAACGTCAAAACAGGACCAAAGAACCTTTTAGATACCCAAATTCCGTATGCTCTCTGCTTTTGCACACATCTCTAACGCCGATGCCGATCCTGTTTCCCAGTAATGCAGATGCTCTAACCCTGAACGCTATGCCTCCCCAGGAGTAATAATGCAGTGGATGGACCCGAGGAAAGGGGCCAGAGACAAGATGAAAACAAAGTCTGGTCGACGCTGCGACCCAGTCTTGAAGGCTTTAATCGACATCATGACACTGTCGTGGTAGTGGTGACAGTGGTGTGTGTGTTTTCGTCAGCTTTGCCGGTGATGATGGGATTGGCTGACGCTTTGGGTGTAATATCAGAGTTGTCTTTCAATGCAGTGTCGGGTTTGGTGCCGTTTGGCCGCGCCTTCAACGCCTGCCTGGTGGTGGAGCGAGAGCTGGTTATCGTCTCTAGTCTAGGCCGCTTCTGAGGGCTTGACTTTCCAAGCGAGTCCCAGGTGCGGTGTTGAACGGAGTCATCCTCGTCCGAAGAAGTCTCCTCGGGGGTCATGGGAACGCGCCGAGCACGGGCGATCCGCCGCCTTTCCACCAACTCACCATCTGAAGATACTTCAGAATCCAACGAGAGACTTCGGCTGCGGTTGGACATGCCCCTGCTCGAAACCGTGGTCCTCCGGGAGCGTCCGCCGATAAGCGAGTCGATCAATTCCGACTCCGAAGGCGTTTCTTCCAGGCGGGGCTTCTCCCCTTGTCGCAGCTTCTTCTTAAGGGCCTTTTCGCGGACTAATCTGTCCAAAGGTGGCTCTTCGGATGCCATCGTTCTCCTGCTCCCAACAGTGCTGGTGCTCCCGGTTCTTGCGACAGGAACACGGCCCTCCATAAGCTTGGCTGGTGGAGGCGGCTGCAACATCCACTTGAGGGCGTCCGGGCGAGAGGGCTTGCTCCCCACGATTGGCGGGTGGTATTCGTTGACGGGTGGGTTTCTCGGCGTACGGTAGAAGTTGTCGCGGTCCTCGTCCGTGATGGGCTTCTCGAGTCCCAACTTCTCCTCAACGTAGCGCCCCGCCGTGTTTCCAGCCTTGGCAATGTTGTCCATAAGCTTGTGGCCCATCCCGGTTAGGTTATGCCCCCAAAGCTCCTCATCCTCTCGCTGGTACAAGGACCTATTCCACGCGTCGCCAGACAGCTTCCGGGCTGTGTCGCCGCTGGTTGTCGGTGTTGCGGGGCTAGTGCTCTCGGCAACGGTGCTGGCGCATCCAAAACTCGCGGCTGTACTCGTCCTGCCAGCACTCGCCAGTCCTCTCTGACTTGCGTTTTTGCTTCCCGACTTCTTGGGCAGGTGGGGGCCGGCAGCCATCTCCTCGGCCCAGAAGGGGTTGGTATGGAAGGGGTCCGGATGGCGGTACAATCCTGGCTGTTCCATTTCGATCTTCCTCTTGACCTCCCTGTCTTCCTTGGCCTTCTTCTTCGCCTTCCGGAACGCCTTCATCTCGTTACATGGTGTACATGCGAGGTAGTAGAATATGGCCGACTGAATGGCGACTGGTAATGACATGTTTGCGGAGTGGCCGTAACCCCGGCGCGGGGAGAAGGTCTATAACGTAGTCGGCGCCTGGAGGTCCACGTATACATTGAAGGCAGGACTCAAGTCGGAGGGTGCAAGGGGTGGTGGTGTTGTGGTTGTTGTTGGTGTTGGTTGTTGGACGGGGTAATATAGACGGGGGCCTCGCGATGGTGTCCAACAGTTCGCAGGGCCGATAAATGTCAATGTAGGAGAAGGACGGTGACAGGAACCACAAGGGGATATAGTTTGAGCAAGTAATGCGGAGGTTAAAAGGTAGCCTTGGATACGGTGGCCCGAGAACCTAAGATGAGATACTTAGGGAAGGGAAAAGACCGCGTGCCAGCGCCAGAGGGGAACTTTAAAGCGCCATTGAAGTGAACCACCGGTGCAGAGCCCAAGACACAGTTTCGATACAGAGGCGCAAATGCTTTAAAAGTGGTTTGGCCTGTGCGGCCCCCCCAAGGTACCGGGAGTATCGAGGTTTGGTGTTGGCGGACGGAAGAGGTTTCAAGGTTGAGTGACGGTGCTATTTTTCGAGGGGTGTGAGAACAGCACGGTACAACAATGCAGCAGCAGCAGCAGCAGTCCAATGCAGTCCTATCCAGGTCCAGTACTATGCAGTAGTCGAGCGTAGGGTAGGGTGAGAGAGATCGAGTGAGTTGGGACCGTAGCGCAATGGCAACGTTCGGGATGTCGGACGCAGGATGAATGGGCGGGCGCGGACGGACGGACGGGTGGTTTGGTTTGGTTTGGCTTGATTTGGTCTGGTAACTTGGAGGACCAGATAATGGTTGGTGATGATGACGGTGATGGGCCGGAGGCTTGCGTCGCGTGAGCAAATAGCCAGACGTTGGCGTCTGGGTACAACACTCGGATGTCTCTACCACATGGAAGGAAGGCGATGGATTCGTTGGCTGTATCGGCCAGGTCGGAGACGGGAAATTGGAATTGAGACACAGGAATGGGGCAGGAGGAGGGGACCAAAAGGAAGGGGGCCTGAAGTAAAAGAAAAAAAAGAAAAAAAGAGAGCGGGAGAATTGAAGACGGGAATGGACTGGAATAGCACGAGTCTACGTTTGAGAAAAAGGGAGGCGGAGGTTGCGCAATGAAAGTGCTGACCACCTTACCTCGGTGCTCTCTCTCCTCCTCTCTCGCTATCTCTCTCTTCCCAGGATCGCTCTCATCCATCAATCATTGGAACGAAACGAAGGGGAGGGGGCAGAGGGTGGAGGGGACCAGCAGAACGGAGACTTGCTGCAGAGAGGAGAGAGAGAGGCGTGGACGTGGGACGGACTGGGGGGGTAAAGCTGTGGGTTCTCGACGGCAACTACCAACCGGGGTGGACGATTCAGGGTGGGAGGGTCGACCGGGGGAGGGATGGGAAAGGGAAGAAAGGAAGGTGGAAGGTAAGGGATCGAAGACAAGTACCGGGTACATTGCTGCTCTTGCCTGAGTGTTCCTCCCTCCTCTTCCTCCAATAATCCCTCCAGATGCCTCTTGCTCCCCCTCCGACCCAATTGTTAGATCACCCTGGGTTCATCTCTCATTCCAGGTCCCTCGAGCTCGATGGTGTTTGTTGATTCCCCCAACCGTGGCACTCCCCGCCCGGAGAAGGATGCTTTCAACGTCCACTTTACGCCAGATGATCGCGCGAGATTGCGATACCCTCGACGGATTAAGCGGACGGGTCCTCGACACCGTGACACCCCCGACTATGGATCGAGCAGCACCACGCAGTGCCTACCAGATACGGTGCAATCTGGGCCGAACACGCCAATGACAAAAAGTGCGCGATGCAGGGGCGTAGTCTGAAGTACATGGCCTTGCAATCATGCTACCGTTCATTCGCTCGCTCGCTCGCGCAGCCTGCCGCCTGTGGCCGTTCAATGGCAGGTCAATATGCCTCTATTCCATTCCACAACCGCGTCTCTGCAGAAAGACTGCGTCCGCTATGCTGCAACTGACAGGCGAGCATGCTACCTCACCTTCCCCTCTACGGAACGTCAGGTACCAAGAAACACCAACCCGGAGCAGCTCTGTGCCTCGTGCCTGCATCCAACGCCGTGCGCTGTTTGGTCCGCTGCGCCTCTGGTCCTAACTGGGGCGTCAAGTTGCTGCGCAAGGTTACCCGACCTCCCGTCTCCAGAGCCGAAGCTGCTTGGCGGACGGACACGGTCATGACGGACCAAGGACCAGAGCCAGTTGCTGTCGTGGCCCACGGGGTGCATTACAGTGCATCGCAACGGTTCCTCGTCCAAGTTGTTTCCACCGCCTACTCGCTGGAATCTTCTGTCCTTCTTGTCTCGCAAGCACCCACAAGCCCAACACGTGTTTTCCTCCGCCTCCGGTTTTCTGTTTTGTTTTTCTTGGCCGACACTCGGCTTCCATCGCTGGCAACTGCACAGCTTTCAGTGAGAAATCCTCCGCCCGTCCGTCCTGTCGAGGCATTCATATGCCCGCAAAGTCCTCGTCCAGAGGTCCGTTCAGACTGGGACGGCGCAGAGCATGGGCGGGAGATCCTAATGGGCCAAGGCTCGACTGGCACCCTCGACGCCGTCGCTAAAGTGGGATGGTCAAAGTACCTGGTACTTTGAAGGTGTCCCGCCCTCCAGGTCCCCTTTCTCTTGCTCCTCCCCCCGACAACAACCTACCTAACACGACCCACGACTGCTACATCGGACTGACGGCCGGACCAGTGTTCGAACTTGAAGACCATGCACTCTGTCGATAAAACGCAAACCTCACCACCCTCGTCCCCTTCAACCCGATGACCCAATGCCGCCCAACGGAGGGACACGATGGAGCACGGAGTCGGATCGAGTCCCATGGGTCTGCAACTCGGCCAATCTGCGCCGTATGTCGCGCCTCTGCCATGGGAGGCCTTCGACGGAACGGCGTGTCGCTCGTGCTGTGCAGGCGTGTCCGTCAATCCATGATCCATCAGCCATCATTTGACTGACATTAGGCTGCTCTCGCTAGTCATCTAACTTGCGATCTATGGATAACTGCTAGTGCATTGCACGTTCTCACATCCCTCAGCAACCCAAAACTATGAAAGACTAGCCCGAGGCACAAACCGTACAAACGAAATTGTTAAATCTTGTTTCCCATTTCCACCATCCCCTTCCCAACAAGCCGGGTGCCGCCAAAGTCCCTTCAAAACTGCTACTGGCAACTGGCAACTCCAGCCAGAACCGTTAATGTCTCACGGCCAAGAAGCCCGATCTCCCGCAGTGACCGCCTGTTCCAACCGTGACCCGGGACCCGGTGGCGGCAGCGTCTAAACCTTCTCTGCTAAGCGTCCAAGGAAAGTTGGCCAAAGGACGCATAGCGTGCACGTTATGCTGCGGTTCGCGTTTCCAGAGCCGACTCCTGTCTTGCCTTGTCTCACTGACAGGTGATTGAGCAAGAAGAAATTTGCAAGACAAGACTAGGCCAAGCAAGACTACAAACGCCTCAGCGTTTCGCGCGCCCTATGAGTTTTACAACGCAACTCCTCCTCGCCTCAGCGTCGCCGGCACCGCCTTTTGCTTCATGGCCACAGAGACTCGATGATCCGATTCCCAGTTTCCAGCTTTCAATGCCATTGCCCTGCTAGCTTCTGCCGGGTTCCTTCGCTTTGAGGGTCCCGATCGACGGGCACGGCACCAATGACAAACTGACAGCGTCAGACTCGACTTCCTCGCATGTTCGCCCAGTCGTTGCTGCACATGGCCGAGGGTTCCTTGTTGGAGGGCATACTTGTTGGTGGACGCATGTCAGTAGTAAATCATGCTCAGTCGTCCTCCAGTCCCACCTTACTGGCTAACAATCAACCTCCCCCCCCCCCCCCCCCCCCCCCCCCCCCCCCCCCCCAACTCTTTCTCCTCCCACACCCACCCACAGAGAACCACCCCCTTTTACTTGGGAAGCCTATCAGCTGAGATATCAGCTGGGGCTCCTCAAGCAAGTTAAACGGTTACGGACCGATGGTTTAGTTACACAACCTCACGTTTAGCCTCCCCAAGTACCGGCGCGCTGCGACGGTGAAATGAAACCGAATTCTGCGGGAATCCTGTCGATCTTCCATGGGATCCTGCGCCAAAAAAAGAGAAAACGCATACATTCATGGACGCCTCGAAACCTGCCGTAGGTGACGGGTGAGAGATATGACACCACGCGCCAGTGCCGTTGGCATGGGTCTATATCCGTCACCAAAAGCCTAGTAAAGCAATGACGGAACACTGACCATACCTTTACAAGAAACCCCCAGAATGGCCCAGTTGCCCAACCTCCACAAACATTCACACCATGAAGCGACCCTCCGCGGACACAGTGATGGAATAAATCACAAATGGTCCATTGACATCTCAATCGTCCCAACTAACCCCTCCACACTCTCATTCCCTCCCCCGCCATCCAGCCACAGACTTCTTATTCCGGAAAGGAAAGCTCGAAATGTAACTGGAGCTCTAGCAGCTAATCACCCCCGTCCATCTCTCAAGAACTTTCCGTCACGTCGATACACCTTGAGTTAGCGCCATATGCTTTACACTTTGAGGCTGAAAGGATTTACGTGATCCTCAACAGAACCAGAGCGAACAAGCTTGCAGCACAAGAAACTCCTGAAAACCTTGATGACGATCACGAAGCCACGTTATTGTAGAAAGGCCGCCACCATGAGAGGTCAAACCTACGCGCCTGGGTAAGGTGAAAGCGGTTCATAGCCTAATGCCGGCTTCAGGGACCCCAGGACTCGTCAATCCTACAGGATGTTGACATTGTTCCGTTCTCTTAGCACAACGATCCAGTTGCTAAATACTCAGGCCCTTCCGAGAGGAAAGAAGACGGGCCAAGATGCAAGACCTCGTGTCGGCACACTGCTCCCGCAGACCAACATGACGAACCTGTTCAGTACCTCTGTATTGCTGCGTGAATTTGCCAGTTTCGACATCATCGCACTCCGTTTCCCCGCCCTTACCAAGCCCTGGGCATCCTCCCAAGCCCGACTT